GTTATTTCTATGTCATTCTCTTTTTTTCTTATTTTATTTTTTATCACTTATTTTAAATTACATCAAATGGTGATCATTGCATGGAAGGTAGTATCTAGAAAGTTGAAATTAGAACCACTTGATTAACTGACTAACCATTAAAGTAATCATATAATTAGTGCTTACTACCTTTTGAACTTGTTGTGTAATTACTTTTCCTCTTTAAGTAAATAGAGAGGATTTTTAGCTCATAGGCTTTTGGACACCATCTAGAATTTATGGATTCTAGATCTAAATTTATGATTCTATGATTCTAGATGATTCTATGATTCTATGATTCTAGATGATTCTATGATTCTATGATTCTATGATTCTAGATGATTCTATGATTCTAGATGATTCTAGATTTATGATTCTAGATCTAGAATCCATAAATTGTGTCATAAATTTTTGATCTAGAATCCATAAATTTATGATTCAAGCCTAAATCTAGAATAGGCTTTTGGACACTACATTGATCATTGAGAGCCTAAGGTCGAGGCCTATGGTTTTCACTGCACTTATTTATTGATCCATCCAAACCTCCTAAATTTTGTACTTGGTGATTTTCATCATAAGATTTAAATAATTATCTATTAACTTAAGAATGAATTATTTTATTTTAATTCATTGCAAAGTAATAGTTAACCAACAAAATATGATGTGTGCACTTCTGATATAGATATTCAAAGTGAGTTACTTCTGGTATTAAGATATGTGTAAAATATATATATATATTTATTTATTGAGAGTGAGAATGGTGAAACACACATGAGTTGCTGGAACGAATACTGCCGTATTAAACGTTGAGATAAATGTTCTTTTCCCATATTGAATTATATCATTAATATTACATCATCAAATTTAAGACATTGAGGTTCAGTATACTCTGAACTCTCCACATGATTACTCAATCATAATAATATGTTTGAGCAAATGTATTTAATATGTCAAATCTACAAAAACTGATGGACATTGCTTAAAGAGTGTAACATTATGATTCATTACAAAATTTCATATCTTAAAGATAAGATTGACAACAGAAAAACTTTTTAAATGAAAATTTGAATACTGAATTTGAAAATATGAAATTTAAATATTTAAAAAATGGTACAACACAACAGTTCAAAACAAGAATGCAAATTCATAAACATATATTTAAAATATGAAATAGAAATTTCTAAATAATGGAAATTCATTTAAATCTATTTCAAATCTGAATCGATATTTCAAACCCATAAAAAACATCAAAAAAATCCAAAGTAATACTTGCTTAACCATTCAAACGCATGAAAACTCAACAGAAAAATATAATAAAATATAATAAAAGATTAAAAAAATAAAACAAAACAAAAAAACGAAAATTGTAAATTTTACAAAACAAATCCCGAACAAGTTTTTATATTTTATTTGTATTAAAAGAAGATGAATCAACAACTAAAGGGCTCATGGCTCAAACAACGCCACCCTAAAAGAGCATCTTCCAGACAAAGAACAGTTGGTACTTCAGAACAAAAATGAGTGCAATTCTAGTAACACACACAAAACGATTGATCAGCAAAAGATACGTGAGGTGGAACCAAGGATTGGTTGCCAGTGATAATACTCTTTGGGTATATCAATCAATCAATATAGTGAATACATGGACGAAAACGGCACAATGTAATTCCTCCAACAGCCAGCAGAAACATCCAAATCGAATTTCTGAATTGCTTATTGACTTACTTGAGCATACTTGTGCTGCAAGAATCACTGAAGGTGTGGTCCACATACAGGAGTTCTACTCAAATACGGCACTCCACACAGCACCATCACCTTCCCCGCATCTTTGATGCACCTCTTGTATCCTCTCCACGGACTTGCAAATTCCACTGCACGTCCAGTCAAAGGAAGCCACACAGACGTTCCCTGCCTGAGCCTTCCATTCACAGTCGGGAGGAGTCCCACAGCACATGCTCCGATCATCGATGTGATCAACGTCTAAGCCGATGATCCATGCACCCAGGGACACATCCTCATTGGCAAACTTGTGCAGGAGTGGTTGATTCACAGAAATGTAGTTGGCCAAGTCCCTGGAGATTGCATAGATCTGCCCTGTCGCGTGCCGGAAATACTTGTTCCCTTCTTCACCAAATTTCCAGTACTCAGGCTCATGATACTTCACCCCCTTCTGGGCGAGAACAGGCCCGGACTTCATGCAGCCAATGTACACACGCGGCTTGGAACGATGTCTGGCCAACGTTGTCCCAAGCACCCCGAGGTTTACGTGGACGTCGTCATCGACTTTCACATAAAAATCTGCGTTCCATTTCTTTACTGCAGTAGCGAAGTATATCTTTGTCTTCATTGACAATTCATGGTATCCTTCAATGTGGTTAAGCCGGAGGAAATCATTGTGCTGAGCATCCTCTGCTTCAATGGCTCTGTCGAGGATACCACCTGGAGTTGCACTGTGTCCAATGATGAAACGAACGATGATCCCCTTCTCCTTTTCCAGTTGTTTCAGTTTGGCCCCCTGGGGCATCCAGCTTTCTCGTACTGAATCCCTTCTTTTCCTACTACTAAATGCCGTGTTGATTCCCACCACAATAAAGGCTTTTTTCCGACCATCAGCAGGCATGTCTACGACCCTTTCTTGCGTCAAAATAGGGCGTGGGTTGCTCCTGGTCTCAGCCCCTTGTTGTGCACCACCATCTTCAATTATATTCCTCTGAATCAAAGCTTCATTGTTCAACTTCGGCTCACATTCAACCCCTAACGCTTCATTTATATCTGGACTAGTCCACATTCTATTTGTGAAAAGCAAGCCTACGCAGAAACTGGCTGCACAGAGCACTAGGACCCCCTTCCATGTTAAATTGCTACTTCCTAATGCTCCACCCTTCCTAATCCGCATCGCTGCTTCCTTCAAACCCTGATCACAGAACCTCCTTGGTCAGGATTCATAAGTAGAGCAATCCTTTGCGAAACTGTTGGTTGATAGTACACGCCGTATTAAGCAAAGGTACTTAGCGAGATAATCCTACAACCTAGATCAGCCATCTACTTTTCTGAAATGCTGGAGATCTAATTCTGCATGTTTTCTTTCAGAATAAATAATAATAATAATAATAATAATAATACAGCTTCTCTCATTGTGAAATGAATTGTAATAATAATAATAATAATAATACAGCTTCTCACATTGTGGAATGAATTGTAATATATCTCTATGGATGTTACTTTGTGCGAAAAGTCCTACATCAAATCTGTTATGTGATAATACTTACAGGAAAAAACAGTCAGTCAAAATTAATAAAAAGAACCTGAGCATTTCAACTCCCTGACACGCATTCAGCATACCATTCGTCCAAAAAATAAAGAAACTAAAAACCGCAGTAACGTAAGGAGTTCGGGAAAAGACATCGCTTACCAAATGAGCGCAGGCATGAGTATGCCCAAACACATTACAGCATGATTGTCAAAAACACGAAACAATGTGTGGCACTTACAATAAGAGTATGTGGGGGAGCAATAGCAGCTGAGGATGCCCTGGATCAGTAGTTTAATCGTCGATTCGTGCTACCTAATACACACCTAAACCGTGCAATGAGCTGTGTATTCCAACTCCTCCGCCACTATGAATACCGCCTTCGCTTCCAGCCTTTAGAGGAAATAGCTCGATCCTCATGCACCAATCGGGCACCCGGAAAGCTGAATTCATGTCCCCAACAACCTCTGTTGAAATTGCACAAGAAGCATTCCACATTGTCCGAAGGAGTGACAAAAGATTTCACTAAGAGTTGTACACGCAGGTTGGCAGCAGAGAAGATTTTGGTCAGGCAAAAAACTCCAGGCAAACCATGCCTTCCCTTTCAGATCTGAGCTCTGGACTACTAGACAAGACACTGAAGAAAGAAAAAAAAAAAAAAAAAAAAAAAAAAAATGTCGCTCGAAGACCAGCACCAAATCCCTCGTTAATCTAAGCGATGGGGAATGAGTGAAAGGTACCCTCGACACCTAAACCAAGTCAGCCATGCCATGGATCTAAATTTGCTAAAAAACCAACCACGGTGCACAGAAATGAAACCTCGGGACTTGATCAATCCCAAACACAGGCACCATAAAAAGCCGCTCCTCTTACGAACCCACACTATCCAACACCATAGAACCACCTCCACTGAGCTGAATCCAGAAAATGAAGAGTGAACTAACCCCTGCAACACAGAACAACCCTAAGATCATAGTAAAACACTCCTCCCATCTGATCCAACCTGCGATACGCTTCAACACTGACTTCTCAACTCACCCCCCAAAAAAGCAGAATTCTACAGCATGGCTCGTCACTCACCCACCCCACTAATCTCACTCAGCGTCAACCTCGGATCCTGACAAAATCCCACCTACAACTCTCTCCGACACAACCTCCATCACCACCTCCTCCACCAACATCACACCCCATTTAACATCCACCCCACGCAGCATCGCCGCGCTTTTGTGCACAGCACAAGGGGCTCGCTTCTCATCAACGCGATGAGGCAAAGCAATCAGTCTGCCGTTCTGGCCTCACTCACTCACAAACGCAGGCTTTCGGATCGTGCGGGACGGACGAGGTTAGGCCGAAGCTGGAGGCCGTCAAAAGCACCTCTCACGTGATTCCTGGCCGCTCGGGTGACCTGGCCTTGCCAGCTCGGCGGATTTCAGAGGAATGCTGTCCAGTTGGCAACCTCGGATTGTACAGTTGGAGATCGATCATGGGTAACTGCCAGAACTGCTTCCTTAGTTTTAAGAAGGATTTAGCGCCTTTTTAGGTGTAAATTTGGACTTCGAAATGGGCCCAGGTGTGTGTGTCCAGGTGGGAGGGTGCTGACCTGGCGGGTGAGTCATCACTTTGCCCTCGAGAATGGTGACGTGGACATGCCACGTGGCAAACTCTATTCCTGGAGTTGAAACTATACTGATCCGAGATGGAAGGGGAACAGACCCATTTATGTGTGTTTTTTTTTTTTTGACAATTCTGTGCTTTTTTTATTTATTTATTTTATTTGAACTTGATCCTCGATGGTAGCCAATGCTGTTTTGAAGTGGGTTTCTTCAAGAATCGAGCATACTTTTTGTTTGGCAGTTTACAAGATTGCTTTTGGATTGCGTTGATTCCAAGACATGACCTGAATTCCGTTTGATTTCAACATGAAAATGGTGGTGGATAAGTTGGTGTTACGTTCGATGGAGGACCCTGTGTTTGTTGGCTCTGGCGACATCTTAAGAATGCTCCGTTGACGGATAGTTCCATCGAAATTAGTTGTACTGAGCGGGTCTTAGTTCGGGAAATAATTTTCCACACTTGAATCACTGGAGTCATGACGCTGGAGCAGGACCTGGTTTCTTAGTGGCGTGGAGTGTCCCACTATAACCCCATAGCTTGGCTGCTTCAAGGGGTTTGAGATGCATTTTCACAAGCAGCTTGCAGGGAACTTGGTTTTAGGGTTGACCGGTCACAACGCTGGAGCATATTCTCTCCTTTCTTAAAGTCCCTTCATTCGAAAATGAATTGCGCTATAATTAGACAAGCCGTTGATCGGCTGTTGTGTGCAGCCTAGAAGAAAGGTGCCAACCGGGCAGGATTCACCGTAGTTGTGTGGATAGTCGGTTCACGATGCTCCTTGCTTCTCTGTCTTTCATGTCTGCTTTTTCGTGTTATTGTAGCACTTCTGTACATGGCTGTTGATCTAAATTACTCGCTTTAAACTAATTGCAGGTCATACGGCGGAATAATTGCACAATCCTTTTAGTTCCGATGTCGAGGTACTGGCTTAAAGTAGGTCAACATACGGGAGGTGTTGCGAACACATGGGACAGCTTTACAGGAACAAAGAGTCAGGAATTGGAAGGACCTGATGAAGTTATCTAGGCTAGAGAGGATTCCGAAATGGCTGCGAGTGCTGCTTTGTCATCTCTGTGTTTTATGGTAATGACATGAATACTTTGTGGCATCTTATAAACTTCAGTTGGAGAGCGTGTCTGACATTCATTTGCTGTTCTCCGGAAACTAAGATACAGAATTTCATTTTCTCGTTTTAGTGGTGGATATAACTCTTGCCAAGAAAGAAGGGCGATGTTGTCTACAACTTCTATGATACTTTACAACAGCGTCTTTTCTGTTTAGTATGTCTATGATAAGGTTGTTAACTATATTGTGCAGTGTGCGAGATGGCAAACCGGAGGGTAACTACTCCGAGTAGAATCTGAAGATGTAAGGGCTTAGCCTTGGAATTCTGACACTGCTGCATCCACGGCTGTGCCCTTCGGTAATTGTGGTTGTAAAACATTGCGGTGACTTCACTCCAGGCGATAGAGTATTCTTCCTGTTTATTTAACTTAAACTGGGTAGTGTTAGATGATATATTGGCGATACTTCTTCTCCACGTATCTACTTCTTGGGAAGTAAAATGTGCTCTCTATTCTGCAATTTTTAAGTAGTTCCTTAGGGTCTTTTCAAGCACCATTCATATGGGTTTCCAGGCATAACCTTCTGGTGACATCTCCGAAAGCTTACACCGCACTTTCTGGATCCACTGAACCTTTGCTGACGGCTAATCGCGAACATGGCATGACAAAATCGTATGGCCTTTTCATCAAAACAGGAGAGGTTCAAGTCGAGTTTGTGATCTTAAACTTCACCTTCTCGACGTGCAGCATTAGCAGTACGTGCAGCCATTTCAAGAATGGTCACATGCTTCCTTCATCTAGTACCAGACGCGGTACAGCGTTCGATACACTTCGACGGTTGAGCTTTTGTGAAAGCCGTAAGAACGCAGTCTGCATCATCCACTTCTTCTGCTGCTATGACATCTGAATTTATGGTACCATGTGGCGCGCATGAAAGAACGCAGACGACTACAGCAGCTAACAAGTCACTTACGGCCCAGCTCAACACCTCATATCCAATCTACAAAAGAGTTGTAAAAACATACTATTACTGACAACAACTTCACTTAGTGACCCATCACCTCCAGTGGCTTCATCACAGCAACAGCTGTTTAGGCACGTTGGACACAAACCCAAACAACTAGTACTTCATTGTACGTTGAATGTAGTCTGCAAGATTTCTTTCACATGGACTGCATGCATCTTATTGCAGCTGGTATCCTTCAATGAAGCCCACCCACAGCAATTACAAAGACAAACTCAATCCCATCCGAAGGTAGCACCTGGAGGTCAGCTCGTTCAATTCTGCTAAAAACTAGAAGTAGAAAGGTTCCAACACAAACTGTGACTCGTTTGCATCAGCACTACCATCTGAAGTTGTATTGTTTGCCAATAAGAATTTCTATGACGGCATGTTGGCCGGAGCTTATAAATTACTACCGACATAAGCAGTGTACTCCGTCGTTTTGCAAGTTACAATACCAGAATACTCATCCTGTGGGTGTGCAGAGGGCATCATTTTGCAAGGGAATTGAAAGGGACATGAAAAGGGGACTAAAGCACGGCACAGATAAACAGACAACGCTGTAAAGTCAACGCCGCTCTTCTTCGCTGAAGTTTCTGCATCTAGTTAAAGGAATTTTTAGGGAACCCCTATTTGGACACCTCCTTTTACATCCAACATACACATCTTGCAAAAAGAAAACACTAGTTTTCATTTTGAATGAGATTGTTTTTATTTTTTATATGACATTGATGAGTAATAACATAAGAATTGAAGGTTGAGATTATATGGAGCATATCAAATTTTGGTATTAAAGTAATTGCTATAACAATTATCATGATTTAAGACTCATGATTTAATAATGAAAATTACTTATTTTTTTGCAAAAATGTGCATTCGTGGGTGCATGGCACAAGGGGGTGTCCATGTTGAAATTAAGGGGCGTCCATCTAATAATTTCCATATTTTAATGTGGTTTCAAAAAAATCTATCATTGTACATAAATGTATAGTAAATTTTGTAGTATTATCTTTAAATACAATTCTTGTAATTCTATTGACTATAATTATTTTAAACTTATTTGTAGTCAATATCATTATTATGACATAATTCTAAAACTTATAAAGAGATATATATATACATTATTATGTTTTAATACATTATTATATTACATTCTTCATATTTTATAGTTAGATGTAGGACTTAAAAACTTCATGTCAAATTGTATAAGTGCTTTTAATTGTAGAATGTAATAAATAACCAAGATTTAAAATATGTATACTTTACATGTTATATTTGTGTTTTATTTCTACTAACAGATTAAAAATATGATGAAAGAATCATGTCACATCTTTGTGGCAGTAACTTATAAAAATAATTTAACAAATAAATCAAATAGAACAATTGTTTGATAGTATAGGTTCTAAGTAATAACATAATTATCTATGTATTTCTTATAAAAAAACAATTTCAGTCTCTTGTCAAAAAAATTAACTTCTAGTTTATTACTTAATGATTTTAAAACTTTATATGGCTATGATACAAGATCAATACTGACATTAGTATTGAAATCAATTTCAAAACATTCAAAAAATATTGTGTTATTAGTATGTTAAAATTTAATAAAAATAAAATTAATAGTTTAAATTATGAAGAATGTTAAATAGACAAAAAGTTTTTAATAAATTGACCCACCCATCCTAACCATCATGAAAAAAAAAAATAACCTCCAAATTCATTACTCTACTATTGGATGTGCAACTAATGAAAACCAACTACATTCATCATGAATACCATATTTTACATAAAAGGGTGGATCAATTTGGTAAAAGCATTCATCTATTTAACATTTTATTTAGTAAAAGCATTCATCTATTTAACATTAATGTATTATTATTGACATTGTGGTTATAAAAATATGTTGAAATAACCCAAACATTTATTAAATTGATCCATTTATCATAACCATCACCAAAACAATTTCCACTATTAGATCTACATTGGTCAAAAACCAATGATAAAATGGTTGGATCCTCAACACCTCCTACACCTTGTTTTCAAAAACACATTTATTACAATTTAGTATGTGATATAAACCTTACTTTACATCAACTCTGTTGATAATTCAAAATCACTTTTTTCTTTTGTAGACACTTAATGAACTTATATATATATATATATATATATATATATATATATATATATATAAACACATTAACATTCTAATATCTTTAACATGTTTTTATTTAAATCACAACCACTTAATTTCTTCTTTTTCTTCTTTTTTTATTTTTTATTTCTTCTTTCCTCCCTTTAAGTTTTATTTACATAAATTATACAACTTCAAAGATTTTTTTGCAACTATTTCACCCCTTGTTTTTAAGTGACAACCACCACACCACATTAAACTTTAATATATAGTGAATATAGAATCATATTGACAAGTATTAAGTTTTCCAACAATGGCTACAATCTATTCTATAGTGGCTAAAGAGATTAATAATACCATAGTGATTATATAAACATATTTGAACAACTATATATACATATATATATATATATATATATATGTGTGTGTGTGTGTGTGGATAAATGATCCACAGTATAACGTATGGACCACGCTGTTAGGAGTACTCAGGTTGGAAGATGGAACCATGAAAAAGTAAATGTAAGGGGTGAAATCGATATCCTCATTCGAAGTACCGAACTTTGAGGTGCGAGACGAAGTCCCGTTTGGGATGTGGAATTAGGGTTAGGCTCTAGAAGAGGGGCGGAGCTGCTTCCGTGCCTCTCTCTTTCGCAATCGAGACTTGACGCCTCGCGCCTTCGGCTCTCTCGCTTGCTCTGCACTTGACAACGTTGCAGGTCTTCTCGCCTCCGCTTCTCATCATGGTACGTTCGCCAATGCAAACCCACAAACTAGATCTCTTCTTCTTCTGCATTCTCTTCTTCTCTTGCTGTTTGTAGTATTCTTTAGTGTTTTAGTGTTTCATGATGAGGAGACTTTTTCTTGCGGCATTCCTCGGGGCAAGACAAGGGGTTCGAAGGTGGCAATGGGTTCTGCACGAGGATGTGTTCATGAGTTTTGGGGTTTTAGTGGAGCTCAGTTTTATAGGGCTTCTTTAGTTGACGATTTTTGCGCATTTGCGCATTAGGTTTACCGTGGCCCGAGAACTGCTCGGCAGTCAGGGTGCTGTTGCGTTTCGACAGCGTGTTACTTCTCTTTTTGACTTTAAATCACGAGGTTCAGAGAACTTGCTTTATCGTTGAATTTGGAGTCTGGTGAAGTCTACCTCGCGAGACTGAGTTTAGGGATTCGATTTTGCAGGATACCGCCGTGAAGTTGGCTATTGTGATGAAGGTCATTGGGCGCACTGGGTCCCGAGGACAGGTGACGCAGGTGCGCGTCAAGTTCTTGGATGATCAGAACCGTCTTATCATGCGCAACGTTAAGGGGCCAGTGCGTGAAGGTAATTACTAAAACCGACACATCTTTTTAATTTCCTTTTTGGAGTGAGGTTCTATTACCGAAGGTTTAATTAGTCTACCAAGATCTTGGATCCCCGAAGTTAAAGTATTGAAGTCACTTGTACACGGACACATTAGTTTCGGATTCTGCTTCTGGATTAACTGTTTCCTAATTCATGTGTGCCGGACACGATTGCTATCGAATCGAACTGAATTCTAGAAACCGATCCCTCTCGATATTGGTGTATAATTTCTTTTACCAATGGTTGTACGTGATAAACAGTGATGTATATCGAAATTACCTTCTTCCATTGCGCTTCTAGCACTCAGTCTTTTGCAGGATTCCTTCTGCTTACTAACTTCTAAAGCATTTTTGGCACCCACATCTGTTGTGACCAGCAGTCATTAAGTTTATGTTTAGAATCATAACCTGATTAACATGACCAGTTGATTTATCTTATGTTAATCAATCTTGTAGGTGATATTTTGACCCTCCTCGAGTCTGAGCGCGAGGCAAGAAGGTTGCGATGAAGAACTCCTATCTCCTATGGCAGGCCACTGGAGCAGTACTGGAAGTTTAGCTGTGCTCATACGTGTACTCCTGGACTTCTCCACATCTTGACAATCTCAAGTTGTGCATAGATTTATTCTTAAAAGTGTTGTTCTTGATACGAATACTGTAATTGGCCTACACTGTATGTTTTGGTGTTTTAGTGAATTTCTACGTCTGGTCTTATATTTCATCTCTTTTGTAGTACGTCGTGTTTTCATGAGTGTCGAACTTCATGCACAATGCATATGTGATGATTCCAAGATAGTCAGCTCCTGTGAGCAGTTCGACGGATTGGCTTATTTAACACAACCAAATTATGTCTGTCGGCATTTCGTGTCGAACCATGCTGTCGTGGTTGATTTAGGCATGTCTGCCATACCTTGGAATGTGATATTTCGTGCATGATTCGTGAGCCAACCTTCCTTTAGTAACCTGTGCTGTACGTACGAACAGGAACATCTCTCGAATCGTTTAGTGAAATAGCCGAGCACTCCCTTTTCCACTACCTCAAGACTTCTCAACAAACAGATCTGTTAGTATGTAATTATTGTTTACTATATGAGGGTATTCCTAGACAGCGTTGCATTTGAGATAAAAAGTAAAACAGCAGTCAATGCTACATCTAATTCTGACTGAAGGGCAGTCTAATGTTGTGCAATTAGCGAATCATCCCTATTGTACCCCTCACCACTAATAATTCCCTGGATGATTATGTACCTTTTTAATTAAACAACCTTGCACCTGTAAGGTCGAAACCAACAGCAATTGAATGGATTACCAGAGGAGCAGAATTCTTCTTATCTACACGATTCTTCCTTACCTCGCCGGGCAAGATATGAGAGGTCATACTGTTCAACAAATGGAACTTTTAGCACATATTTAATTCAATAACGAAAAACCACATTCTTTCTGTTGATTGTAAGCCCCTGATGCCGACGTTGATGTTATGGGAGTGATTATTCAACATTGTTGATTGATTCGATACAACAGTTGTGGCAGTTGACCATTTGTTTCCAGATCTAAAATTTTGATATGAAGCTTAGGATAAGTCATAGATTAGCATGATTTTTTTTTATTATGATAATTGTGAAAAAATACAATAAATAGTAAAAGCTAAATGATATGTACAATGCAGAGAATATATATGATTTTTATATTCAAATGGACATCCGCAAGTACATAGTATAGATTTGAAAATTTTCAAATCGGCATCATTGTGTTGGTCAAGAGTGTATCTTCGGTAGTCTTTTTTCCTATTATAGAATATATTGGAGTAATATAGAAGTGCAGACATTTCTACTATTTGTGTGTTATTTTCTACTTATGATTTTTTTTTAACATTATTTGTATGTTTATTGGTATTTCCTTCAAAATCTATAAATGTATTATTAGTTGAACTCTTAGGATTTTGGTTCTACACCTTCCAATAATTAATTCATAAATTTGACTCTAAATTGTCTTAGATATATAAAGATAATACTTCTTTTCATTTTGTTTAGAGGTAATAACTTTTATTTTGTTAAATGTGTATTGTGACTCAAGACTCCACCTAGTGAATTGTAGTAGGGACATAGGTATGGGGCCTAACTGCTAAAAATACATCCTTGTCATTTGAATCAATTGTAAGTGGCAATTGTAAGTGGCAAAGACAAAGTGCCAACCCATACAAGCACTAATCTTGGCAAAATTATCTTTGATTATGTGACAAAATTACAACATCAACAATGGTGGTGTGGTAGGTGCAATATAATGATGGGTATAAATAATAAAACTTTGGATAGAAATATCAATTTCTTATTTTAAATGTGTCTTAATAAATCTCTTTTATAATGTTTTTGGTTTATTTTTGATGTTAACACCTTTAAAGAACTAATATAAAAGTAATAATTTATTTAGAATATTTATAATAATATTTTAGTCACAATTTAAAATATTTTACAAAAGTAATTTGCTAACTTGTGGATGCTATTTTAAAATATTAAAGTCTTTATGAAGTAAATAATTTATAAAGTCTTTACAATTTTTTTGCGATAATAAGATATTTTTGAACATGATGTTGGAGTTTAATTTATAAAAATGTAGTTTTACTATAAAAAACTAACATAACTAATACCTAATAGAAAATTAGATGCATTAGTTCTAATGGATTGTAGTACCTTGGAAGTGGATAAAAAGATAAAACCAAGGCCAAAAAATCCCTTTAGGATATCTTTTCATCTTACTCATAAGCCTTTGTGAGGATATAAACTCCTCACCACACGAACCAATTATTATTGATAAAAAATTTAAAATCTAAAATACTTTTGAATTTATAACTTAAAATTTATAACTCCTTCCTCATGGTATCTACAATGTACATATTTGTGCTATCATTGGAAAGATATAAGAATTAATCCAATATATATATATATATATATATATATATATATATTTCTTAATTTAAATGATATATACCTTGTTTTGATTATATGATTTGATAATAAAAATAATAATAATATTTTTTTTTATTTGTTTGTTTTTTTTGTTTTCCTCTGAAATCATCAATTCTAACCTCACCATTAGTTAAGATTAACTCTTTATTGACTACACCTTGTGATTTAGTTTGAGTATGAATTTCTTCTTCACACATCTTATTTAAGTTATAAAGTATAGTTTAAGATATGTTCAATAAAAGCCCTAATATATTCCAATGAGCTACATTTAACTACTCTTAATTCACAAAGTTGCTTCAATGAACTTTTATTTCAATCTGAAGTAGACTTTTATTTTTCTTTGATTTAATTTGTTTTATTATAGATAAAAAATTCAAATTAATAATTAAATACTAGATAAAGTCGAAGTTTGAAACACGAAGGGAAAATTTAGTTAAATAAATAGTGAGAAAATGATTTGAAAATCAATTAAATTTTTTACAATTAATCAAGGAATAAAACAATGAAATATCAAAAACATCTATTAATAATTTAGTGGATAAACTTGAAATTGACATTTAATTTTTACTCTAACATAATAAATCCAATTCAGATGTGTGTATATATGTGTGTATTTCAAAATGTCTTTCCATGCTCACTGATCCCAAAATGACAGACATTGAATTTTGAAGCACCAGACGAATATTGTCAAAAGTTAAGAGCTTGAGAATAACAAGAAAAAGTGAATATAAAAGATATTTTAATCTGAGGTTCAAAACCCACTGTCATTGCAGGAGACCACACACACTCTGTTGTGTCGTTCGAAGGGCAACAAATAGCTTCTCCAATCAGAATGTTAGAACTTAAACCTTCAATTTTTTTTTTTCACACTTCACTGAAAGTCGAGCAATAGAACAAACGCTCAATTCGAGTGGAGGAATGCGAACGTGTCTACATGAAACTGGTCTGGAACTTTTCGTGGAAAACCATTCAGAGTAGTGGTGTTTATCCCCCAATGTCTTCACAAGGGTGTCATCAGAGACAGAGTAGGTAAAAACTTCGGACATAGATGCAGAGTTTGCAAAAAGTTTCAAGTTGAAATTAACTTAGTACTCTCATGGGTGCCCGACATGCAGAGAATTCAGTTGTTTTTAACCTCACATGTTGATTAAGCGTTCAACTATATCAATCAAGAAAGTGAGAAGTTCAAATTGGATCCACTGTGCTAGATCATTTAATTTAGTTTCCATGACTTAAATAGATCAAATACAGGTCATGGTAGCTAAATTATCGGGTTAATGGTGGATATCCACCGCACAAGGGCTGCTGGTAACTGCACATTGCAGATAGTATGAATGTATGTATCCATTAAGGATGACAACGCCAAGTAACGTAACTTACCACTGCATGAGCTCAAATCGACAACTATAATCATTTCACATGGGAACAACATTCAAACAAACGAGACTTAATAAACAAATATGCTAGATACCCGAATGAAGACCACATGCCCAATAGTTGAAGTGCACATGTTTCGTTGATCCTGTTATCCCTATTTGATACATCCTGGTCCGAATCCATGACATCAACAAACATACCCATGGACAGATAGATGAGAACTGTGTACCTCAGAATACTCCAAAAGGATGAGACCGTCGTACAAAGGTTTCTTCAGCTGCATATGACAACTTCATGCTACCCTTGTACCTTCCATTTCTTGGTCAACAATCAACAAGTCGGCCCCTTGAAAGCCATCAGTGAGCTTTCGTTGACAGGGAAGGACATTAGTGATTGGCATCTTTAACCGCAAGGGCACTTAGAATTGACAAAAGTTATCCCACTATACATGTTTGACCCTGAAAGATGATCTCTACATGGATCTTTAATAAACTAAGACTGCGTGAAAAATGTTCCTACTAGGGCTTTAGACTGTATCCCAAAATCTCCTGCCGTTGTGCTCTTGAACTACCCAACAATCATGGACACGGAACAGCCCAGGAGAAATAAGTTGCTATTGCACAATAACAGAGTCGCAAGTCTCAAAGTCATCTATTCTAAAATCTCCAGGCAACAACGATCATGAAGTTGCAGAACACCATCGATTTCTCACCTTCATTTGCATCACATTATCTATACGTTGACCAATTTGTTAGTCCCCGCATCCTCAATTTTGACCCTTTCATGCTCATCTACAAGAATCGCACCAGTGTCGTCATGCTTATCTTCAACTATTTCATCTCCTTCTCCAGGTTGTTCAGGGATATTGTCACCACTTTCTACTCCTGTATTAGCCTCAGCAGCCAGTTTGTTATTGGAGACTTCAGTTCGCCCAGGAGGTCCGTCTTTCCATCTCTCAAAATCAGCATCCAAGTTTTCCATGCTCAGTTCAGATATTCGCTTCTGGCACTCAGACAATTCTTCACGTGATCTAGCCTTCCATTCTTCCAGATCCTGTAATATCGACAAAACAAAAACTCATAAACTAAGGAAAATGTAATCATCCTCAAAGAACCACACCAGAGAGTAAGGGCCTACACTAAAGGCAACGGAAATGATACAACACAAATTTAAACCCCACACCGCATAAGTACACAGCAGTTGTCTAAGCCTCCATCATGTAAGGCACAGTTCTGTTATAATCTAACTTTCGGCGTAGTTTCTCTCACACATCGGAAATGCCAGCAAAAATCGTGATATATACTATGTAAAACTTGGCAAAACAATCCTCCCCACCCAAACTGACTTTCCAAAAGTAGATTACAAGAATATGGATCTATGAAGATCAACCACGAAAGAAACAAAATGATGATGTAACAACATGGATCATCACGATTCTTTACTCGTGTGGAATACAATACCTGCTGGGCTTCCTGGAGCAACTTGTCCGTCTCTTCACTAGACTTCACTGGTAGATAATAAATTCTAGGTCCCGCTTTTGTTCTGCACTCAAACATAGCAATGTCAAAAGTTGAGACTAGCATTCGAAGTGAAAAACGCTATCATGTCTCCACAAAATGACAACGTTTCAACAATCAACGATTAAAATCAAAACACCATATAATGTTCGGACTTTTTCCTTAAAATCAACTTTGGTCATGTGGAGAAATGTTTTGGAGATCATTATAAAGGATGACGAGCCTCACTTAATGAAGCTAGCAAGCCGAGTATGATGTTCTGCCCACTGCAAAAAGAGGAGCTCTAATTGCTTGGCCTCAGCTTCTGTTGCCAGTTTTGCTCGTAAGATCTGAAACACAACATTCAACATAAGTTCGCTACTTTCAAAAACAGAAAACAACCCGCAGAAAGCTCTCCAATCAAACAAGATACCTCCTAACCTCGCTACATGACATGGATTAACGCAGGATCTTACACAAGTAAAAGAATACAAAAAACCTAGGTACAATACCCGAAATAACCTCACGGTAGACTTCTAATGTGTTGCCAGTCCATGAAAATAAGCAAAGAAGCCGATTGACATAGCTACAGCTCTAAACACAATAACTAAACTCAATAAAATTTCCTTGAGAAGTTAACCGCAAAGCTGCTTATTTAACCCTCCCGAGATAAGACTGTACCAGGTCAGCTCGACGTTTCTCAGCCAAGGCTTCTTTCTCTTGCTGACGTAAACGCTCATTTTCTTCTTGGGCTTTGTGTTCTGCCTGCATAGAAAGGAGTTATAGATAGTGCATTCAGCGTTAAACATGTAACCAGAAGTGACAGAAAAAATGAACTGCCACTCCAGGTTTTTTGGAAGCATACTCTGCATATATGTGCATTTGAGAACCAGTAACCAGGTTCCTTCATCACCTGGGTAATTTACAGCCAAGTGGTAATGAAGAGAAATTATTGAAATTTGCTGAGCATTAACAAATAATCACCTTCTTCAACTGTTCAGATCGACGCTGAAATGATTCTGATCCAGATAGCTTTTCGTCCTCCCGCCTAAATTTCTGTCAACCGAAATAATCCATCGTTACCGATCAGTGGGAGAAGATGATTAGAAATTTGAACATTCTGAACTTAGCCATCTTTCATAACATCTCAAGCAATAAACAAGAACACATCATCTATCCATGTCATCAACCAGGGCTTCAAAGAATTTTTAAAATCCCTAAAATGCCCCCACCCAGCTTCAACAACAAAGTTTGAAGAATCTCAAAGTGCGTTTAGGATTAGGGTGTACAAACTAATTACCTCCAAAGTACCTAAAAGAGCCCCAAACATACGTCGGTTGCGCTTAGCAACATTAGGATCACTTGTCTTGGACAGAACCCTAGGTGCTGGTTCAGCAGGTTGTGCATCGTCATTCTGCTGCAATCCACAAAAACGAAATAAACCCAACCCATTAAGTAAAAGAAGATAAGTTTAACGATTTGCACCAGTTCAGATGAGTCACTTCAGTGTGTGACAAGCGAAGGAAAATGTGAAAAAAAAATACATCCGCTGTTGCCGACGAATTATACACCTACGGAAATTTGTACACTTACATGTGGATTGCTGACACGGACAAGGAAGCCCCTCTCCTTAGGAAACCTTCTTGGTCCTCCTGGTCCCCCAGAACGATGTCCGCCCGTGGTAGAAGTGCGCGTGTTTGAGTCGGAGTTGCCCCTTCGCTGCGAATCTACTGCTGGAAGAGGATTAGAGTGATCTGCATTGTAATTGCGTTGAAGTGTTGGCCGCCGATCCGCAAGATCAGTTTCTTCATCTGCGTCATCTTTATCAGGTTGGGTTTTCTTATTTTCTTCTATTTCATTGTCTGTTTCCGGCAGCTTCTCCTCTTGCACAACCTGTGCAAATCAATCATAATCATGAAATTACAGGTATTCAAGACATTACCAAGTACATGGTTATGAAGTATATGAACAAAGTACCACGTGTAGCAAAGAACATCTATATGACATGGTGTTTAAATACCGATTGAATAAGCTTGTGTGGCAAGACTCAGCATACAACATACCTTCACTACAGCTGAAAGCAACCTTCTCTTTCCAGGACGTTGTTCATAGCCGTCAAAGCCGTCCCCCTGTTATCACAGCAGGACACTATGAGCACCTCTGTGATATAAGAAAAATAAAAATAAAAACGAAAAAAAGCGAAAAAATTGAAAGTTGAATATCATGTAACAATAAAAGATAATAAATGTGCGTGCAAAGAATACAGAATGATCAAACACCGCAACGACCTCTTCTTACCCGCCTGATGACACCTCGCGGGGCGTTCTTGCGCTGGTGAGAACCGTCCGCATCAATGTTCCTCGCTTTACCGCCGAGAGCATTTCTGCGTAACCCTTTCGGATCTCGCAGTCGCTCATTAATCTGTTATCCACCCACAATATCATAACAGATGCAATTTGTAAAAGTAGTTAATAAGGGACGGTGAGCAAGTCAACATTCACATTCTAGAAAAATAGTGCTCACACATATTGCTATTTAACGAGAACCTCATAAGACAAAGCTATGGTGTAAAGTTCACTTGTTGGAGTTTCAGAGAGGTGGTTAATCAGTTTTCTTGAAAACCACTGTTTAACAGTGGCTACTAACATCATATTGCATGCTTCAGCAAGCATTGGTGGACGGAACCTGGTCACAACTGTCTTTCAAAATCTTTGGAACCACTTACGAACTTCGCATAAAGAGGCTGTGAGGCCAAGGACGGTCACAATTAGAATACGTATCAGAATAATTATCTCTTGGAAACACATTCAACAGCGTAATTCTATTAAAACGAACAAAACATTACTCCCTCTGAAACATGTACTTGATCAAGAATTTTCTCCTTCGAAAAATAGTTGGTATAGTCAATTGCAACTATTGAAACCATCCTTGCAAGACTCGGAAAAAGAGATCACCCATAGCAAACACAATGCCAACCGATCCTCAATTTTTCTTTCACTCCAAAAGTTTTTTACGACGTGATGACACCATCCGCCACCACACCTGGTCTCATCCAAACGCGCTGAAAATATACCACCACTAAAACCCTAACGCTGATAGAAAGCTGAAGAAACAACCTCGACAGCAACCTTTCAATACAAATTCCACAAAATCAACAATGCCGTAAGTCACAGCCTCACAACCGAGTAGGTAGGTAAGCAGTGCCCCGTATTGCCAATCCATGCGACCGTTGGATTTTACGAATTAGGGTTCGGAAGTTGAAGAGAGAGGAAAGGTGGAGAAGAGTAAACCTCTCGCTGTTGGCGGTGGAGTTCGTCAATCTCGCGACGGAGGTCCTCAGCGGTCTTCGCCGCCTCTAATGTCGCCATGAACACGGCGCCAGCGTATGAAGAGCAAGAGCTCAGAGAGTCATGGCGGAGGCATGGTGCTGAAGGGCAGACGAGGAGAGTGAGCAATTGGCCATCGCCATAGCCAAAGCCCCGCAGGGTTTAAAGTTTGGAACTGGGGCCATTCCAAAGCTGCGCTGCACACCTCCCCCTTGGATGAATGATTCTATTTGGACGACGTCCTCTGTGTTTGTTGGATGATAATGTCCACGTCAAGGATAAACCTTGTTCACACTCTGCTGTTTACCGTTCACTGAATGAGGATGGCTGGCGTGTAGTTGTGACCAAACTGCCACCCGATATTCTGGAATGGGACATTTTAATAAGTCACTTTTTATTTAAATTTTAAATTTTAAATTTTTTCCCTAATTGAAAGTGATATTAATGAACTATTTCCCTAATTGATAAAAAGTGATATGTATGTATACATATATATATATATATATATATATATATTTATATATAGTTTTTTTGTAAATTTTGAAAATAATGTTTATGTTGTAACATCTTTACATAATTGTAATGGTGAAATTTTAAAAAAAATAATAAAATTGTAGATATTTTTGAAATATTAATAATAAAAAAAATAATGTTAAAAAAATTCTTTGAATAGATACAATAATTTTGAATTTACCACAAATCAAAGCTATGAGATTTATTTAAATATCAATTTACTTTATTTTTATGTATAGATTGAAACACATTGCATATAAAAGAACAAAAATATGTAAATAACCAAGAATTTTAAGCAATGATTATGTGCTAATAAATAAGGTAATTACAACAACTATTAGCATCAATGATAGATTTCTTGAATTGTAATTATATTTGTAGAATTTAGAGATACTATGGTCATAGTAAGAGTTTTAAAAAATATGATATTGATATTTTTAAATTTTAATGAATAATATTATATAAATAAATAATATACATATATTAAACTTTAAATAATATAAATAGTGATATTTTTTACTTTAAATTCATTAAAAACGGATTTGCTGTTAACTCTTCCTGATCCACAAACGCTCAACGAAGCTATTAGCCAAGCTGTGAAGTGCGATAACCGCCTATTCCAACGTCGCCAAGACCAACGTTCAAGACAACATACGATTCGCCACACTCCAACTATGTCGGCAAGCAGCGTGAATTCACATTCAGAGGTAGAAGACATGCAAATTGATGCGGTACGTGTTAAATCTCTTACTCTAGAAGAAAAAAAGCGGCGTATGGAGGAAGGTCTATGCTTGTATTGCGGTGAAGAAGGCCACAAAATTAGAAACTGCCCCAAGAAGCAAAATCGACGTATTATCAAGACTAGGGGTGAGTTTATTCAGGAAAACGAAGATGCCCAGCCACAATAGGAACCGTGCGGCTGGACAGTGAAATATCGCAACAACAACCAGGTTCCTTTCTTTCTGCTCAACCTGCCTTTTGTTTTATAATCCCTTTGCTTATTGGCCCTCAGAAACTGAGAACCTTAGCATTATTAGATTCAAGAGCATCTGCTTGTTTCTTAGACAAAGAATTCGCAAGGCATCATAAGATCCCTTTAGTACAAAAATCCAAACCTATTCACGTTGAGGTCATAGATGGACGACCTTTATTGTTTGGTAGTGTCACCCATGAATCAGAACCTATAGAAGTGACATTTAAGGACCATAGTAGTCATATTATTTTCAATATTATTAGAACCCCATCAAATCCTGTTATTCTTGGTCTTTCCTGGTTGGAAAAGCATAACCCATCCATAGATTGGAAGTTGCGGAAGATGACCTTTCCCACAAAACCACCTAAGAGCAAGCCTAGTAGAAAACCCCGAATAGAAAAATCCTTATTTATTAGAGCAAGAGCGTTTATAAGATTGTCCAAAGGAGGCACACCGTTTGTCATTTATGCGGCTCGAACTACCGGAGAGAAGATCTCAACAACAAGTATACCAGAGCAATATAAGGATTTTAAAGACATGTTTCAAAAGTAAAATGCCGACATGCTACCGAAACACAGACCATATGATTGCGCCATAGACTTACAGGAAGGAGCACAACCGCCTTTTGGCCCAATCTACAATCTATCGCAGATGGAGTTGGCGGAGTTGCGGAAGTACATTGACGAGAATCTAGCCAAGAACTTCATCCGTCATTCAAAATCATCAACTGGAGCACTCATCTTATTTGTGAAGAAGAAAGATGGCTTGTTGCGGATGTGCGTGGACTATCGAGGCCTCAATAAGGTAACAAAGAAGAATCGTTATCCGTTACCCTTGATTTTTGGTCTCTTAGAACAACTTGGACGTGCAAGGATCTTTACAAAAATTGATCTAAGGGGAGCTTACAACCTCGTACGAATCAAGGAAGGAGATGAGTAGAAGACAGCGTTCCGTACAAGGTATGGCCATTTTGAATATAATGTCATGCCCTTTGGTCTTACCAATGCTCCAGCGGTCTTTCAACATATGATGAATGACATTTTCCAAGAGTACCTTGACGATTTTGTTGTCATCTATTTGGATGATATTTTGATATTCTCCAAAAATGAGGAAGAGCATGAAAAACACGTTCGTTTGGTATTGGAGAAACTACGCAAGCGAGGACTATATGCCAAGTTGGAGAAGTGTTTATTTCACCAAATAGAGATGGAGTTTTTGGGGTTTGTTGCGACTACGAAAGGCTTAAAGATGGACCCCAAGAAGGTGGAAGCAATTGTGTCTTGGGAGGTTCCGAAGACGGTTAGAGACGTACAATACTTTCTTGGTTTTGCCAACTTCTATCGGATCTTTATCAAGAATTACTCTCAAGTTGTTGCTCCTCTCACTCGATTGACATGCAAGGATAAGCTGGAATGAGAACCTCTAGCAGAGAAGGCGTTTCAAAACCTGAAGACCGCATTTACTACGGCTCCAATCTTGGTACATCCAGACTTTACAAAGGCCTTCTATTTAGAAACTGATGCTTTGGATTTTGCTTTGGGAGCTGTACTTTCACAAATGGGAGAAGACAAGAAGCTCCATCCGGTTGCATTCTATTCTCGAAAGTTCTTTGCTGCTGAAATCAATTATGAGATCCACGATAAGGAACTTCTTGCTATAGTGGATTCTTTCCAAGAATGGCATCACTTTCTTGAAGGAGCTGCACATCCAGTGACCATATACACACATCACAAGAATTTGGAGTATTTCATGTCGGCTCGAGTTCTAAATCGACGTCAAGCTCGATGGAGTATGTTGCTATTTAGGTTCGATTTTATTATCACTTATCGACCTGAAAAGCAGCAAGGACTATCTGATGCCTTATCGAGGAGATCGTATCTTGTACCAAAGGCTTGAGAAGCAGTGTTTGATCAACAATGTACGACATTGTTGAAGCTAAAGCAATTTTAGCTTTGCGCTACTATTATGTCAATTGATGCTGACTTCCTGAATCAAGTACGTGCCGTAACCATTGAAGATTCAGTAGCCATTGATATTAAGCAGCGTGCCAATGACGACAAGTTCAAGGTGGAGGGAGATCTTTTATACTTTGAAGAGCAGTTATATATCCCAAAAGGACCAGCACGACTCCTAGTTCTTCAATCTCGCCACGATTTTCCAACTGTGGGACATTTTGGATTCAACAAGACCTTGGAGGTTATTTCTCGAGATTTTTGGTGGCTCCAAATGTGGAAGGATGTGAAAGATTTTGTCCTCTCCTGCGACATCTGTTCAAGATCCAAGAATCCTCGGCATCGCCCTTATAGACTCCTACAGCCATTGCCGATTCTACGTCGACCATGGTCTTTAATTTCCATGGACTTCATCATGAACCTGCCATCATCAAACTCATTTGACAGCATCTTTGTCATAGTAGATCGGCTTACAAAAATGGCATACTTTGTCCCTTGCAAGAAGACATCGTCCAGTGAAGTCATAGCAAGGCTCTTTCTCGATAATGTATATCGATATCATGGACTACTAGATGATATCATATCAGATTGAGGAACCCAGTTCGTATCGAAGTTTTGGAGATCTCTCTTTGAGATACTGAAGGTGGATATCAAGTTTTCTTAGGCTTTTCATCCTCAAACTGACGGTCAAACGAAACGGGTGAACCAAGTCTTGGAACAATACTTACGATGCAGCATCAACTATCTGCAAGACGATTGGACCACATATCTGCCGTTAGCCGAGTTTGCATATAATAACACCCTCCATGCATCGACTCAATACACACCATTCTTTTCCAACTATGGGTATCATCCAAAGCTTGATTTATTGAGTCCATCAACAAATAACAATCCAGCACCTGAAGGATTTGTGAAACAACTATCAGAGCTTCAAAATACGTTGAAGCTTCAATTACAATCCGCTCAAGAATCCTACAAGGCGTCTGCAGATAGATTTCAGAATCAAGCACCTACTTTCAAAATTGGAGATAAAGCATGGCTTCTTCGACGGAATATCAAGACCAAGGGACCATGTGATAAGTTGGACTATCAAAGATTGGGACCATTTATCATCCAAAAGCAAATTAATCCAGTGGCGTACCGTCTGGAATTACCGGCTTCTATAAAGGTACATCCAGTCTTTCATGTTTCTTTGTTGGAGCCTTATCGAGAGTCATCTTTTCCTGAAAGAGTGCAATGTCCGCCATCTAGTATTGAGATCGAGAACCACGAGGAATAGGAGATTGAAAAGGTGCTGGATTCTCGGCGAAGGTGGGGCAAGTTAGAGTATCTTGTTCATTGGTGCGGCTACGACATTAATGAGCGAACGTAGGAGCCAGCTAAAAATCTCACCAATGCGCCACAAAAGGTATAGGAGTTTCATCAACAACATCCTCATAAACCTAAGCCGGTTCGACAATAGCTTCTTTCTGAAGCTTGCTCACCCAAGAATATAAGAAAGGGAGAGAGCACCACCAAAATTTGTAGTTGATGTAGTTATTTTCTCCAAGATAAAATAGAATTTTTTCAGTAGCCATAGTTTGGTCTTCTGATATGGATAGCCAAGAGATAGATACTATGCCAGTCAGATTATTTCAACCAACTAGTTCACGAAGGCGACCCCGAGATGAAGAACCACCTACACAATGACGACGACGAAGGATACCAAGTAACCGATCTTTG